ATATCTCTCTCTCTCTCTATATATATATATATATATATATATATATATATATATATAGATGTGTGTGTGTGTTTTTATATATATATATATATTTGTAGAGAGAGAAGACATGGAGTCATGCCTTTGTCAAACGTATTTAAGAGTAAGTGAATTTGACGTACGCGACTAGAATTCGAACTCAGTTCTTCGATTTCTCATTCCGAGCCTATATCCATTACACCATCCATACATCCAAACATTATACTTTATATTTAAATTTAAATCGAACTGTTCCCGTCATAACAACGGAGACAAAGTCAGAGTCTAACTTAGTATTATATGTATGCCGGAAATCGGACATCACTAGTTATAAAACGAATATAAACGCAGATCAGACTTCTTCTCTATACCGTGTCAAATTAACGACATCGATGATGGTGGCTCTCCATGACTTCTTATCCTTTGTAGCTTTTAGCAATGTTTGTCTTATCACTATCCCTCCCACCTTCTGTTCTGCCATCGATTTACTCTTTATGTAGGTTTCTCTCTGTCGTTCTTGCCTTTGATATTACCTGTGAGTGTCACATTCTCGGAGCATTCTTTCTACATTATGTCTCCGAGATATTTTAACTGTCTTTTATTGACTGTAGGAATAATTTTTCTTTTTGTTTTCCTTTTTGTTTGCTTTGTTGCTCATATGCTTCGTCCATAGTATTCTCATCATCCTACAGTAGAACCACTTCTTTATTAACTCAAGTCTTCTCCTCATCGGAGCGAAAATTGTCCAGCATTTACTGCCACAAAGGAAGATAGATATTACATCGCAGTTCAGCCATATTTTCTTTATTACTAACAACATTTTTCTGTTTCTTAATGCTTTGCTTAGTTTTAGAAAGGCATCTTTTGCAATTCCTATACCCCTTCGGATTTCTGTCACATTTTCCGTCATCTACTAGAATGTTTCTCAGATAGTTAAAATTATATTTCTTGCCTGAGTTTGATGCGCCATATTCGTAAAGCGAATCTTTCACTGCTTGTTTATCAAAAACATTTTTTTGTTTAAAATATACTGGTTTAATCATGTATAATATTTTAAAGCAATATTTATATTTTGTTTTCATTATTTGTTTCTTTTTATATATTGCTTACTACTATTTACTCTAACGCTGTGATCTAAATGCTAAGGTGGTTACCATTTTCAAGAACGAAATGGCTTTATTTTAAAACGTAAGCAATTTAATTATAAAAACACAGTAATAACTTTTAAAATTCAAATGCAATGTCAATCATCTTCTACTATTCTCTTGATTACTCTTCTATTGTTCTCGCTCCTTAATAATGTTTTCTTCGTTTTTATATATTTGACATCCGTAAGACGTTAAACTACATCATCGTCCTGGGTAAGATGATAAACTACGTCCAGCATATATACAAGGCCACTTATCAGGAGGTTTTAACACGGAGCATTATAACCACTTTTGTTTAATTGCTGGTGTTCCCCAGGTCCATATCTGAATTAGGGTGGTTTACAATTTTTGATAATTACTGTTCGTGAAAACAAAATATGACCAGAAATAAAAAATGTTGTCGGCATTAAATAACCTATTGATGTTGATAATCTGTAAAACAAAATAAACCAAACTTAATAATGTTTCTCTTTTTTCTTATTCTTTCACGCTCAGTAACCCCTTCGGTCTTAGTGGCTTTATTGCCTTGCATGGGGGTGATAAGATTAAAAAAAAAAGAAAGAAAAATGAAGTAAATTTAGATATTTTAGAATGTCAAAACACAATTATCTAGATTATTTACTGTGATATACGTTTAACATACCCGTTTAATTAGATTTATTCATTACATGTTTAATATGCTTAATTTAATTTGAAGTTTTATTAATTAGATTTACCGTATATACCCGTTATATATATACGGTTGTTTTAATACCCGTTTATATATACCCGTTTAATTAGAATATATATATATATATATATATATATATATATTTATATATATATTAATTAGATATATTTATATATACTGTATGTGTGTTTAATTAGTAATTATTGTTCGTGTATATATATACCCGTTTAATTATAATTACTGTTCGTGATATATTTATATATATTTAATATAATTACTGTTTAATATATTGTTTATATATACCGTTTAATATTAAAAATATGAGCCCAATATATACTGTTCGTGATACACGTTTATATATACAAATAAGAGTTTTATATATACCCGTTAATTAGATAATAGCTTAATTAGATTAATTGTTTATATAAATTTGACATATACCCGTTTATATATACCCGTTTAATTAGATAATTATGTTCCATATACCCGTTTATATATACCCGTTTAATTAGAAAATTAATGTTTGATATACCGTTTATTATATACGTTTAATTAGATATTCGTGATATACCGATATATACCAGTTTAATTAATTTACAGTTCGAAGATATATTTCAGCATTAATCATATACCCGTTTAATTAGCCGACAAATTCCCTTTCTTCATATAGTATATATACCTTTTAATTAGATAATTACCTATACCCGTTTATTATATACCTATATATATATACCTTTAAAATAATTCATAATATATATTTATTAATATACAGTTTAATCCCTTTATTAATGCGCATTCTGATTAATTTTATATATACCCGTTTTAATTAGATAATTAAAGTTCTGAATGTTTTTATATACCCATTAATTTAATTAGTACAATTTTTGTTCGTAATACGAGGCATTATTCCCGTTTAATTAGATAATTAAAATTGTTTATTTTTTTTATATTTACCCGATTAATTAGATAATTTTTCTGAAAATTTAAAATAGAAAATGTTTATACTATATTTACTGTTCGTGATTTTGTTTATATTTACCTTTTAATTAGATAATTACTGTTTCATGATTACCCGTTTATATATACCCGTTTAATTAGATAATTATGTTTTCGTGATATGCAAATTAATTAGATAATTACTGTTCGTGACTAATCCCGTTTAATTAGATTCTGTTCGTGATTACCCGTTATAAATACCCGACGAATTAAATAATTACAAAAGTGATAAAATATATACCCGTTTATATATAGCTGTTCGACTCGTTTGATATACCCGTTTATATCTGAATTAGGAACTTTATATATATAATAGATAATTACTGTTCGTGATATTTATATATTAGATAATATATTTATATATACCGTTTAATTAGATAATTATATTTATATATATCTGTTCGTGATATACGTTTATATATACCCGTTTAATCTAATTACTGTTCGTGATATACATGTTTATATATACCCTTTAATTAGTTTACTGAATTTACTTTTAAACGATAAATTTTTATTGTCATCATCCATTGAATAGTTTTAGATAATTACTTTTCCCGATATACCCGTTTATAAAACCTACAACCTTTAATTAGATAATTAGTGCCCGTGATATACCCGTTTATATATACCAGTTGAATTAGATAATTACTGTTCGTGATATACCCGTTTATATATACCCGTTTAATTAGATAATTACTGTTCGTGATATACCCGTTTATATATACCCGTTTAATTAGATAATTACTGTTCGTGATATACCCGTTTATATATACCCGTTTAATTAGATAATTACTGTTCGTGATATACACGTTTATATATACCTGTTTAATTAGATAATTACTGTTCGTGATACACCCGTTTATATATACCCGTTTAATTAGATAATTATGGGCCGTGATATACCCGTTTATATATACCCGTTTAATTAGATAATTACTGTTCGTGATATACACGTTTATATATACCCGTTTAATTAGATAATTACTGTTCGTGATATACACGTTTATATATACCCGTTTAATTAGATAATTACTGTTCGTGATATACCCGTTTATATATACCGGTTTAATTAGATAATTATGGTCCGTGATATACCCGTTTATATATACCCGTTTAATTAGATAATTACTGTTCGTGATATACCCGTTTACATACACCCGTTTAATATATACTTTAATTAGATAATTTACATATATATATATATACCCGTTTAATTAGTTTATATACCCATTTAATTAGATAATTACTGTTCGTGATATACCCGTCTATATATACACGTTTAATTAGACAATTGCTGTCCGCGATATACCCGTTTAATTAGATAATTACGGTCTGTGATATACCCATTTATATATACCCTTTTCATTAGATAATTACCCCCCATTAAGAATAAAAAAAATAAAACAAATTATTGAAAATAAAACATTCTATAACCTGATCAAACTTCATCGATATTTGATTAGCTGTGTCCCGGAGGACTCACCACCCGAGACATGGGGCAGTATTTGAGAACTGAACAATTTAAAACGACCCGCTAGATAATTTCGCTCACGTTGTTGTTGTTGTTGTTGTCCTTGCTGTTGCTATTGTTCTTGTTGCTCTTCTTCTTCTTCTTCTTCTTCTTTGTGACGTGTCCCTTCAGGACGTGTGAAATCATGACTGTCCACAAATTCCTGTCCTTCGTAGCTCTTAATAAAATTTGACATTTCGTTATCTCCCTTTCTTTCAAAGATTTACACAAGCTCATTTGGTAGGTGATCAGCTGTTTTCCTCTGTCGATCTTGCCTTCAATATATCCTGTGAGTATCAAATTTTCCAAGCCCTGCTTCCTCAATATGTAGCCCGTAATATTCAGCTGTACATTTCTGATGCTATTTATGTATTCTTTATGTTAGCATTTTCTCTTCCACTTCGCCGTTGCTTACATGCCCAGTACATGGCATTCTCAGCATCCTTCTGTAGAACCACATTTCTGTCGCCTCAAGCCTCTTCTTCATCTGTTATGAGATTGTCTAACCTTTACTGACGTCTTTCGATAAAAGAACTGGGCAACGAGGCGCTGACTATCTTATCATATCTTGCTCGATTATGTATCTCTGTGACACACTTTCTTCCAGTTTTTGCAAAGGAGGCTTAACTGCAGACAGACTATCGCTGTATCTGCCTGTATGAGTTCGGCTTTCCTTCGACACCGTCTCCTTTCGTCTTTCGTCCGTCTGACTCCCAGGATCAAGTGTACAAATTATCGCGATCAAGTCATATGTAGAGATAGGTACGTTTCTATTTTGATCATGTTCTTTTGACTCCACAGATAAACGGCTTTTTAAAATCGAAAAAAGCAATTTTTATCTGAACCCTGACTCTCAAAATTTGCGTCTCCTGACAAATTTACCAATGTGTGATTCGAACCCGGTTATAAGGATCGGAGAGCGACCGTTAATAAGCACTCGGCTACACGTCTCTCTCGAATTTATGGAGCTTCTTCTTTGTTTTGTTTTGTTCAAGTACTTTTGCACCGTCTCGCTCGTTAACGAAAACTGGATGTTGTCAGTGACAGTGTTAAACAACATTTCGTTAGCTACATCCATACATTTTCACAGAGTTGTAATTTGAGACTGCACAATGTGACGACATGTTTAACTCTCTCCATATTTTCACAAATTCCGATTCCTGAATATCCTTTCTCCAAAGCTCTAAACCAACTGACACTGACATATTTATCTAGCAAATATTGCATAAATTCCCCCAACAAATTTCTCGACATATTCCATTTTAATAATGTCAATCGTTATCTTCCATCTTCTTAAATCTTGTTCTTTTATTGTTCACTTTACTTAATAGTGCATCCAATACAATGACAGACATCGTACTAAGAAATATTGTTGCAGTGAAAAATCCATTGTTTAAATAATTGTGTCTACATTCAGATTGTAAAGAAAAATAGATACATGTTTAAGCCTGTAGTGAAGCATTATTCAATGCAATTTAATGACTGTCCATAAGTGAGTTACACCCATTTAGAGCGTGTAGCCGAATAAGGCCAGAGATAGGACAAGAACAGTACGGGTTCGGTAAACACACCAGAACAAGGAATGCAATATTCATGCACAGAATGTTATCAGAAAAAGCAATACAAATGCAGAAGGATGTGCACCTATGTTTTATAGAGTACGTAAAGGCGTTCGACAAAGTACGCCACAAAGATCTGTTGGAACTGCTCAGCAACCTTGATATATTTGGGAAAGATATTAGAATAACCAAGAACTTATATTGGCAAAAAACGGCCAGCATAAGGATAGAAAATGAGTTGAGCAGATATACAAAAATAGAAAGGGGCATAAGGCAAGGATGTGTCTTCTCACCAGACTTATTCAACTTATACAGTGAGGCAATTCCGAGAAGAAATTCCTACTTGACAGAAAAAATTCATCCACATTAATTGATTTGTTTTTTATGGTTTATCAACCCTTTGCAGGTTATTTAAAGACAGAAACTATTTTTAGGGTGTAAGGAGTTTTTGAAGATAATAATGATTTACTGATAGATGTCCTACTAATTAACCCATAGCTAGGGGCGAACGGGTGAATACAACCTATACAGAGAGGAAATTTTGAGAGAACTTGAATTCCTACCAGGATTCACCAATAGCAGCCACAATCTTAACAAGATACGCAGATAACCCAGTGCTGATAGCAGACACGGAAAGGAAATTACAATTCCCCCTACAGAATGTATCGAAGGAAAGCGAGAAAGGAATATGCATAAACCACAAGATAGAATGCATGGTCATTCATAAAAAGATGATACTAAAATCAAACAGGTGCGCAAATTTAAATATCTGCGACTTGTTCTGACAGAAGACTCTAAGTCCGACGCTGAGATCCAAAGAGATATTGGGATGGCCAAAGACGCATTTCAAAAGCTAGGCAGAGTATTATGAGACAAGTGGATTTCGTTGGTAACAAAGAAGAGACTACTGAGCTATTTACAGCATCGAATGTCTCCACAAAGATGAAGAAGAGACTCGAGCAACGGAGGTATGGTTCTACAGAAGGATGATAAGGATACCATGGACCGAACATGTGAGCAACGATGAGGTTTTGGAGATAATGTAAACAAGGAGAAACCTTATATTTGACATCAGGAAGAGGCGTTTGAAATTTCTGGGACACGTAATGAGAAAGGAGGGTTTAGAGAATCTGATACTGACAGGGCCGATAGAGACAAAGAGAGACAAGGGAAAGCAATGAGTGACATACCTAGCGGGATTAAGCAAGTGGATAACAGTTTAGGGGAAAAAGGACAAAACATATTGAGAACTACAAGGGATAGGGATAGGAGGAAGTGGAGGGCCATGGTCGCCTACGCCCTGAAGGGGAGATAACTATGGTTGTATTCAACACATATCTGTCTTATATTTCTTTCTTTTTGTATTTGTAATTATCAATATTCATATCTATCATTGTATCAATCGTTATTCATATTTAAAGTTATTCACATCTATCTATCTATCTATCTATCTATCTATCTATCTATCTATCTATCTATCTATGTTCATATCTATCCATCTGTGATCATATGTATGTATGTATGTATGTATGTATGTATGTATCTATCTATCTATCTATCTATCTGTGTTTATATCTATCTATTTGTGTTCATATGTTCGTATCTATCTATCTATCTATCTATCTATCTATCAACCATAATCTGTTCATATATATTAAATCTGTTTCTTTCTGGCTATCTGTCTATCTATCTATCTATCTATCTATCTATCTATCTATGTTCATATCTATCTATCCATCTGTGATCATATGTATGTATGTATGTATGTATGTATGTATGTATCTATCTATCTATCTATCTATGTTTATATCTATCTACTTGTGTTCATATGTTCGTATCTATCTATCTATCTATCTATCTATCTATCTATCTATCAACAATAATCTGTTCATATATATCCCAATCTGTTTCTTTCTGCCTATCTATCTATCTATCTATCTATCTATCCTTATTGAAATCAGATTGTTTATTCAATATTGATAAAGCGCCCGCCCAAATGAAATTGGGTAAAATATCTTGAACTATTCTTATTATTATTTAAATGGTGCAGATTTTGGCTCGCTCCCAAAAGAAGGGGCGAAAAAACTGCAACCTAAAAGCCTAAAAGACTATTGCAATTACGAACGGAATTTTTATGAGGTTAAAATGTATGGAAAAAATACAAACAAAATGAATTTGGTTTTAGTCTTTAAAGCAGTATAGATCGGAGTTGGAAAAAGAAAATTCCTCTTTTGGTGCGGCCGTGAATAAATTGTATCACTGAAAATAATACAAATTCCTTTCTATTTACAGGTATAGGTAAATGGTTGTAACGCTCGATTGCAGAAGGAGAGGTTTCTAAGTTCCTTTCCATGGTAGATTAAAATAGTTCATAAACAGTATCAAAGAAGTATAAGATATATACCGTATAAAAATAAATAACATAATATAGAATTAAAAATGGTATGAAAATAAACAAAAACAATGTAAAATAAAATTTAAAAAGACAATATAAAAAGAAGTAGTCAAAAAAACAGTAGAAAATGTATAAAACAATAAACAGCATAAAATATAAAATGAACATTATAAAAATAATAAAATATAAACAGTATACATTATATAAACAAACAAAATAAAACAGTGTAAAATGTAAAAAATAATTAAATAAATAGAATAAAATAAAAAGAATTGCGCCATGGTGATCTTTTTCTCACAGACGGTCCCCAGCTGAGCCTACTGAGCCCTACTGAGCATTTGACAAAATCAAGAACGAACAACGCGCATGCGCGAAATTGAAAATATAAAACGGTGACAATTTTTCCATCGCACGCTGTATAAACAAACGGTATTTAAATAGTTAAAAAGTACAAAAATAAGTGGTATAAAAGGGTATAGAAATAAATAGTATAAAATAAGCAGTATAAAATAGGAAACAATATAAAAATAAAAAGTATAAAAATAACATAAAATAAACAGTATAAAAACAATAATAAGTAACACCATAAACAGTAAAAAAAGTATAAAGACAAACACTGTAATAAAAAATATATAAAAAAAAAACAGTATAAAAGCATTTTAAAAAGGTATAAAAATAAATAGTACAAACAGGTATAAAAATAAATTGTATAAAATAAGAAACAGCGTAGAAAGTCATAAGTGGCGACCCAGAGACATTAGATAAAGAATTGGTCAGTATAAGTAGTACCCTACAACGTAACAACTACCCTGGGTACATAGCAGGAGCCCCAAAAAACTGGGATAGGCGGGTACAAGAGAAGGAGAACAACACACAGAAAACACTCCCTGCCTTATGTGAAGGGGTTATCAGAGAAAATACAAAGGATCTGCGGTCCATATAACATCCAGGCAACCTTCAAAAGCTTGACGACACTTCGCAAATATCTCTCCCGAGTAAGACACTCCCATAGAGGAGAACAGGACTAAAGACTGTACGCTATCCCGTGCAGCTGCGGAAAGAAATATAAAGGGGAGACAGGTAAGTCTTCAAGGTAAGTCTTCAAGAACACCAGAAAGCTGTAACACGAGGGGGAGAGAAAAGGGAGATCACCGCCCTTTGTTGGGTTAGGATGAGATCATAGACAAAGAACACCACTGGAAAATTCGTAAACTTAAGGAATCAGCACATATGCTAGGTCACAAAAATCTCCTGAGCCGACCGAGCATAGAAATGAATACAATATGGGAACAAGTAATAAGGAGTGCCAGAGAAAAGCAACAATAACAACAAAAATTGCAATATGAGCTCTGGTAAAATCACGAGGTTAACAGCAAAAATTGCAATATGAGCACTGGTACAAAAATGTTGCTGAAGACATTAGGTTTATAATACCCAGAAATTCATACACAGGTGTCCTCAAGGACACATGTCACAGTGGATAAAGGCGTTGGTTAGATCCAGTAACAGGATCTAAAGAGTGTGAGTTCAATACTCGGTTAGGGCAGTGGAGAACTGAGGGGAATTAACAGGAGATAACTGATAACTGACATCCATTAAACATGAGCGAAATAAAGGGCTCAGTTCGACATTCCAACAACCGGAGCGTACAACGGCCGAAACGTTGTAATAATTATGGCGACAAAGATGAGGGCAATAGTCCGAATAATGTAAATAGTCTACATAATACCTCATCTCAGAAATAAGTAAGTAAATATAGACAGATACTGAAAGTATAAAATCGTTAATTCTTTCGTTGCTTGCAAAAGGTAATGCTAATAATGGAAAATCTAGAATTTTGTGATAAAATGAATTATAATACGATCAAGTGCTTCCTACAACGTAGGTCCTTACCAGGCTCTTTAAGCTCATGAGATCAACGCATGATTAGGTTGTACCCTGTTTCTGTTGTATTTTCACGGTCTGTGCAAGAACATTCACAGATCGTTAGAATGATAGCAGAACTTACGGGTGCACCTCCAAATGTCAAGATAACCAGAGTCTGCCAGATGCTCTTTCATCTGACCGAACTTCCTAACTAGTTCAATGACTAACATTCAATAGTCCAATGCGTAACATTGAATAGTTTAAATATCAAGCTAGTAACTCATCACCGAGCTAATGTTGAATTCTTACCAGTCACAATGAATAGTTGCACTCACAAAGAGCTTCTTTTGCTTTGAGCGTCTTTTGGGACTCAATCCCCCCACACACACCAGCCATAATCTAACAGTATAATATACGAAGGTGACGCTCTGAGTATCACAAACACAGAAAGAAAACTACAGGAATTACCCGCACGATAGTAAAAGAAAGTGAGAAAAAAGGACTATCAATTGTACGAAAAGAGAATATATGGTTTTCAGCAAGATGGAAAACAACCTAAAACGCTTGCTACGAATTGGAGATGTCAGTTCTTTAACAGGAAATGGCAAAGGTGATAGCGAAACTTGAAAATGTATTTGAATATCATAAGATGCCTTCGAAAAAGTAAAAAAAATATTAAGAAACAGGAAAATTCATTTAGAGACAAAGAGGGCTTCTCTTCTATATAAGATCAATCCTTTTATATGACAATGAATGCTGCTCAGTGTCCTTACAGATTAAGAGAAGACTTCAGGCAGTAGAGTTGTGGCTCTACAGAAAGATGCTGAGAATACAGCATGTAGGCAATGAGGAAGTCATAAGGAAAATGAAAAAAAACAAACAACCATACGTAAGATCAGAAAGAAACAGTTTAAATATCTGATTCATATAATGAGAAAAGAAGGTTTGGAAAATTTGGAACTCACAGGACATATCGAAGGCAAGAAAAAGAGGAAAGCAGCGAATAACTTGCCTAATGAGTTGATACAGATTAAAGACAGCGAGGGGTAGTAACAAGACTAACATTTCTAAGAACTATAAAGATAAAGAAATTGAGGAGAGCCATGATCGCTTACTTTAAGAAGGAACAAGGTACATGGAAGAAAAAGAATATTGTCAGAATCGCAGAGGAAGATTTCGTTAGCTTCATGGTACCATTTTTGGAACGATGCCATTCAAATGCATGTGGATCATATAAATTACGCTATTTGCATAAAAGGCATCTAGAATATTAGCTAATATAATCGTCGCTTGGACCTCTCAAGCTATGCGAAAACATTCTATACATGATGTTACTTGTACGATAAATGTATATTTAAATATGAAATGTATAATTCCATAAGAGAAATTTCGCTTGAAAACATCAAATTTGACCGTCTGTCACTTCGTGGCCAACATGGTATAGGCGCACTGGACGAAACGGTGACTCTCTCTACCCTGAGCCATGTAGATTTGATTTATATATGTATATTAAACATGTATTGCTAAATATAACAGACAATGAATAGTCTATGATATTTGATCATGAGCCCTTCTAAACTCTTTATATTTGCTTTAATTTCGTGTTTGCTATTCCGCGAAGTGCCATTACCGATTGGGCCACAGAGAAGCGTTCGGTTAAAAACAGTAAAATCAACCTTGCTAACCGAACGCTCCTCTGTGGCCCAATCGATAAAGGCACGTTAAGCTGTATGACGGTTCCGTATAGGATACAGGTTCGATTCCTTTCGGAGGACGCATATTGTCTCTGGAAATTTCTCGGACATTCAGACCGGTAAATGTCGTTAATACTATTTATTATAAACAGAACATTTACTTAAATATTTGTATCTATAAAAAAAACGTATAAACATAAAAAGTATATATATATAGGTGTCCATAAAGTTCGTGTGCATTTGAAAAATTTATAACTTTAAAGTGCACACGTTAAAAATTTGAATTTAAAGTTAAAAGCTATAATTTAATTTTTAACTTAAAAGCTCTACATGTTATATTTATTTTTACTTTTTTCTCACGTGTATTGAGTACTTTTTAATACTACTATTTCCTGGTCTGATTCAACTCTGACAAATAACCGTTATGTATACACACACACGCGCACACACACACACACATATATATATATGTATGTATACATATATATATATATATATATATATATATATATATATATTATTTATTATAATTTTATCATATAGACAAAACCATTTTACTCACTACAAAGATGCAACTTGGTTTCAGTGCATTTCAACTGCACTTCGACGGATGAGAATCGAAAATGGATTAATGCTGTGAACATTGTAATTTATACATTACTTTCGTTCTCATCGTTCTATATATATATATTTTATCTGAAAAGATTCATACAATTATAAAAAAGAGGACTGTACTGTTATCTAATATCAGTGCTTCTATATGTCTGTGAATGCTGGACAATGAAGGCAAAATTCCATGCAACGGAGATATGATTCTACAGAAGGGTGCTGAGAATACCATGGACTGAACATGTGAGCGACAAGGAAGTTTTAAGGATAATGGAAAACAAAATGGCCGCTTATACTTAGAATCAGGAAGAGACGGTTGAAATTTCTCGGAAAAATAATGAGGAAAGAAGGTGTAAAGAATTCGATACTCACAATACAGATTGAAGGCAGGAATGACGGAGGAAAGTATCGAGTAA